GGCATTGCAGGTGGATTCTTTACCATCTGAGCCACCAGGAAAGCCCATGAATACTGGAGTGGGTAGCCTATCCCTTCTCCAGGGGGTCTTCCTGACTCAGGAATTGAACCGGGGTCTCCTGCATTGTAGGCAGATTCTTTACCAGCTATTATAACTGAGAAACAAAAAATATTAACCCATTAAAATAACAATAAACTCACTACATGTTAATATATAACATTTTAAATAAAATACAACCATACTTTCTAAAACAAAAATATTATGAGAAGGGTACCATTGTTTTATATATTTTTAAATCTCCTTAAGATCTGGCTTATCAAAGACAGCTAGCTGGCTCTCACATCAGCTTCTGCATTTAATCTGTTGCAGTATAGCTGAAGAATATAAAGAAAAATCTGACTTCATAGAGATAATATTGTTGGAAAAGGATGGCCTCACAGACTTCCTGGAAAGGTCTCAGGGGTCCCCAGAGCTTCCTGCACCACACTATGAGGACTGCTGTTCCTGGTAATGCAAAGCCATCAAAAGATCATCAGCGTGGACACACTGCTGTTTGGTGGCAATGTGAGGGTGGATTAGAAGGAGGAGGGCTTAGATAAGGGTAGCAGGAAGGGAGACTATTAAAAGGGCTCAGGTAAGACCATAGGAAGCCCTTCTTTAAGCAGAGACAACGCAGATGCAGAGAAATGGATTCACAAGTTAACAGTCTGTGGGAACTGATATCCAAATGCATAACTTCAGGTATTCAGCACTGGAAATCCAGAAGAATGGTGATGATTAGGCATAAGCAGATCATTTCTGCTTTTAGTTGGCCAAAGAGGCAAGATCGGATAAGCCAGAAAGAGAAATAATGTGAAAATTCAAGACCATTGACTCAAAGAGATCCAAATAAATGGACAGGCCCTGGCAAACTTACCTGTTTAAACTGCTATTCTCAGTATGGCTTGAAACGACACTGAGGATTTCCCTGGTGGTCCAGTGGTTAAGAATCCACCTGCCAATGCTGGGAATTTGGGTTCAATCCCTGTTCTGGGCAGATTCCACATGCCACAGAACAACTAAGCCTGTGAGCCACAACTATTGAAGCCCACAGCCCTAGAGAGTCCATGCTCTGCAACTTGAGAGTAGCCTCTACTCACCACAGCTAGAGAAGGCCCTCACACAGCAACAAAGACCCAGTGCAGCCAAAAATAAATAAATATTTAAAAAAACCCCAACACTGACATAGCATTTGCCTTAAGAAAGTAAAATTAACTTTTTATTAATGCAAATAATCCCTGAAGGTTACAGAAAAGCTCCCAACTCTCCTTAGACAATGAAGCACACCTTGGCATTAGTTAATTTAGTCAGATTGTTTTCTTTCTTAATGAGCACAGGAGAGCTTCAGATCACAGATCACATTAGAGCAACTGGCCTAGCAGGTACCAGGGTGGGGCTCTGGGTATACTACGGGATAAAAGGGAAAAGAGGGGGAGAATGTTAACTCTCTGTGGAAGATATTACTATCTGGATATTTTTAGTTTAAGAAGTGATTAGAGGGATTGTTACATGATTATTAAGAAGTGAATAAAGTCACTGGATAGCTGGTTGGCAAAAATCGTCAGTTAGCCCTGAAAAAACACAAAAGACAGTTTGCTCGCTGTAAAGTAAATTTAGGGCTTTACGTCCAGTTGCAGAGATCAGATAAGTGGCAGATCATCCCAACAGAAATGAACTCTGTTCTCAAGCAGCCTCTCATTATGCCTCAAAGAACCTGGAGAGTTGAGGAATATGGATTTTGGGGTGTGTGTGTGTGTCTGTGTGCATAATGTGAGTCTTGGACAGATGCAATCTCCATGGTCCAGGTAGAGGGCAGAAAAGTTGATACTTCTTACCTTTTAAATTCTACACATTAGGAACCCAAATCTACTACAGGAATTCTCTTTATCTTCCACCATCTGAGTAATAAGGCCCTGTGGACAGTTCTCTGGGTTGGGCAAAGGATTATTTTTTGTATGGTTGCACAGTTCAGTATATTCAGAGGATGCAAATAAGCAAGATGTGCCAATAATACAGAGTATGATTTAAGAAATACAGATTCCTGTGTATAGAGCAAATGCTTAACTTACTAAACATCATTACTCCTTAACTCTGAGTAAGTATCCAAATGACTTTGATTTGAATCAATGTTGGTATATAAAAACACTTTCATAAGCTCAAAAGGATTGTCTTGGTCTTCTTAAAAATGAAGTAAATTTCCAGAACACAGCACCCAGGCAAAGACCAAATCTGTCACTTCAGAACTCAGCGCCTCCCCAGTAATGTTACATTCTTAAATGTTTGTGATGATGTTCCTTACTTTCCATTGTTACTTTTTTAAAAAAAAAAAATTGCGACATGACCTGGGAAAGGCAGCCTTGATCACGTCAACTCTCTCTTCTGTAGAATGAGATCAAAGTTCCACTTGCCATATAAGGTTTGTAAGGATTAGATCCTGTAAACATTTTTGTGAACCAAAAAGTCCCATGCAAATGTTAGTAACAGTAGAGCTCCTAGGGAGGCGGTATCCTTTTCATGAAGACAGGATGGCCCACTAAGGGAACAGGCATTCATTTTAGGTCTTCTATATGCCATACTACCTCACTGGATACCATCTTATGTATCGGGTGGTCATGTCCCGTTTTATATATGAGGTACATGGAAGGTAAGTCATGGTTATCCAGCTCATTAAGTCATTTTTTCTATAGGTCTTCTGTGTATTCTTGCCACATCTTCTTAATTTCTTCTGCTTCTGCAAGGTCCTTATTGGTTCTGCTCTTTGTCATGCCCATTCTTGCATGAAATGTTCCCTGGATATCTCCAATTTTCTTGACTAGATCTCTAGTCTTTCCCATTCTACTGATTTCCTCTACTTCTTGGTATTGTTCATTTAAGAAGGCCTTCTTATCTCTCCTTGCTATTCTCTGGACTCTGCATTCAGTTGTGCGTGTCTTTGTCTTTCTCCTTTACCTTTCACGTCTCTTCTTTCCTCAGGCAGCTGTAAAGCCTCTTTAGACACCACTTTGCCTTCTTGAATTTTTTTTTTTTCCCTCTGGAATGGTTTTGGTCACTGCCTCCTGTACAGTGTTACGAACCTCTTTCCATAGTTCTTGAGGCATTCTATCTACAAGGTCTAATCCCTTGAATCTATTTATCACCTCCACTGTATAATCATGACCATATAATATTACGCAAACTTGGGGGCATACAATCAGCATAGGTGAATCCAACAAACCTTCTGCTGCCTTCCAAATCAATCCTGCTCTTTTTAATTTCTGGTTTCTTTTGTGTATAAAAAACTGCCTCACCTTCTTGAGTGTGTGTGTAATCCTATTTATCTTTCAAATGTTCCCTCTCTCATCAAGGCAGAATTAATCATTCCTTGATGACACTGCTAATTCAATCCATAAAGCCCTTTCTCTAATAAGCAAGCTTATCATTAAAAAAAAAAAAAGCAACAAACCCTATAAAATATATGGAGAAAAAACATGAGAGAGTCCCTATACCTCTTGGTGACATTCCACCAGGCTGAAATCAGGCTGACGTGATCTGTGTTTCAGGGATTAGAATTTAATAGCAAAAATGAGTCAGTTAAAACACCCAGTAAGAATGCTGTCTGCAGATTAAGTGCTTTGCACTGGGGACACAACATAACCTGAATTGCTAAATTCTAAGGGCTGACTGGTGATTTGCATCCCAATCTCTTTTCATGCTATTTTCTTGGCAAAAGTTAACAAGGAGCACTCAGCCTAGGAAAGATAGGTCCTCTATTTACCTCAGCAAGAAACAGATGAGCACAATGAATTTCAAGTTTTCCAACTCAATGGCTTTGGTTTGACCTGGAGTGGGTAATGTCTGTTGTCCCAGATGTGTCAATCTGAACATCAAACCTACCAACTGGTGTTAGATTTTACATTCATTCAGTAACAATCCAGTCCCAAATATTACACAGTCCCTATGTGACAATTGGCACTTTATGGTACAATCCACAAAACACATGAGCATTGTGCCAAGAAAATCATGATCCAATATTCACCATTCTACCACTAAACCTAAACAAATTACATTTCACCACTCATTGTTCAAGAACACATGGAACTATGCAAAACTATTCCAAGTACAGGCTGTATAGTCACTGAATGGTAATAGGTTCTATGTGACTAAATCCTACAGCCTACCATTCTCTCTTCATGAAGAGTCCAGAGTGGATCATACCAGAACCCCTTTAAATTCTGCCACATAATCAAGAGTATTAATGCTTTTGATACTCATTTTCAAATTGACTATGCTTTAACATGCCAATTTAGAATAATCATATAAAAGTCTACAATAATTATGTACAGTAACTGATGCCAGGTAATGTCTGTTGTCCCAGATGTGTCAATCTGAACATCAAACCTACCAACTGGTGTTAGATTTTACATTCATTCAGTAACAATCCAGTCCCAAAGATTACACAGTCCCTATGTGACAACTGGCACTTTATGGTACAATCCACAAAACACATGAGCATCGTGCCAAGAAAATCATGATCCAACATTTGCCATTCTACCACTAAACCTAAACAAATTACATTTCACCACTCATTGTTCAAGAACACATGGAACTATGCAAAACTATTCCAAGTACAGGCTGTACAGTCACTGAATGGTAATAGGTTCTATGTGACTAAATCCTACAGCCTACCCTCTTCATGAAGAGTCCAGAGTGGATCATACCAGAACCCCTTTAAATTCTGCCATAACCAAGAGTACTAATCCTTTTGATACTCATTTTCAAATTGACTGTGCTTTAACATGCCAATTTAGAATAATCATATAAAAGTCTACAATAATTATGTACAGTAACTGATGCCTGAGGCAACAGAATGACTTGATGCTTGATACTCAAGTACTTAAATGAAGCAGAGGGAAAATGTACTGTTCTCTTTCACGAGCCAAACACTGGTCTTCCTCCAGAAGGTGTGTAAGCTTCTGGCACCAGTGAAATAATAACATTGGTCTATTCTAGGCCAGAAGAAAAGTGACATCAACTTACTTAACAGTTGGCAATAGAGGGCCTGTAAACTTCTCTTCATGGTATCATCTGGTCCTGCTTGTCCTCCAGTTTATTCATGATTCTGTCTAGGAAATTGGGAGAAGAAAATCATTACATCTGGGAGACAGAATTCAAGTCAGTAATAAGAAAGAACTCCACTCAATATGATCCTGTTGTTAAAGCCCAAAATGCCTTATTTGAAGATAAAAATTCCTGGAGCAAATATACCACAGTACTGTCTATGTTATAAAACTATCAATTAATCAATTAGATTTTGAAACTACACATCACTCATATGGGCACCTAGAGGGTGAGAATCTGGCCTTGGGATTTTGAAGACTTACAAAACACCTTCCCTGCATCTCTAGTTTTGAAACAGGAGAAACAAGGAACTTGTAATCTCATTTCTGCAATCCTGTTCACCAAACAAAACACTCCCCCAAAAGCTTCAACAATTTCAAATTGCATTATATTAAACAATTTTTCTATTATTTTCTGACTACAAAAGATACCTCCAGTGTAGAATATCTGGAAAATGTATCTAAACAAAATATAGTTAAGAATGGACAAGAAACTACAAATTACCTATCTCTTCAGCTTTTCCTGTGTGCACTTCTATTGGTCTATTTTGCTATACATTCTAATTTTTCTCCCTAGCAGTAGAAACATCTTCCTCTGTTGTTATTACACTTTACTACATTTTTTTTTTCTTCTTTTGGCCATACCTCTTGGCTTATGGGATATTAGTTTTCTGACCAGTGTTTGAACTCAAGGCTCTCAGCAGTGAAAGTGTGGAGTCCTAAGCACTGGACCACCAGGGAATTTGCATTTTACAACTTTATTCTAAATGGCACACAGTACTTTTTTCAAGATAAGTTCCTAGAAATGGAATCACTAGGACACAATCGAAGGCTCTTGAAATATATTGCTGAGATGCCCTTCACCAACACTACATTATGAAAATCTCCATTAGATTACAACCTACTTAATGAAGGACACTTGTATTTTCTTACCATCATTGCCAAGCAAATAGGCACATATTTCATCTCATTGCTTTTGCATTTTACAGGTTTATTAGTTTTTAAAAAAATTGTAAATTCACATTTGGCAAAGATTCTCTAGTTAGGTGCTGAACCTTTTCCTGTAGACCTATCTGTGCACTTCCTTGTAAAACCGAGTGAAGGCAGCTCTTTTGCCCCTTTCCTATTTGCCCATTTCTCCTCCCCTTTTAATCTTTAAGGACTTCCCTGGTGGCTCAGATGGTAAAGCATCTGTCTACAGTGTGGGAGACCTGGGTTCGATCCCTGGGTCAGGAAGATTCCCTGGAGAAGGAAATGGCAACCCACTCCAGTACTCTTGCCTAGAAAATCCCATGGATGGAGGAGCCTGGTGCAGGCTACTGTCCATGGGGTCGCAAAGAGTCAGACACAACTGAGTGACTTCACTCACTTTAATCTTTAAAGAACTTAATGTAGGAATAAGATCATTAGGCAATTTAACCTAACTACTGACTTACACTCTCCTGAATGCACACCATGCCTTGTCTAACCTGTGAATTCTTCTACAAGATAAGAAGAAGTAAGAGTAAAGAGTTAACTAGTTAAAGAATGGTTAGCTCTCTACCTCACAATGGCCCCCTAAGGAATCCTGTAGGCAGATCAAGGGGGCAAGGTAATATCTGGAGAGAGAGTCAGCCAGTCTGCACTCTGTAGAGATGATGCAGAACCCAACATCCTGCCTTGACGATTCTGACATTCTTTTCCCCATTTTTCCCTTTAAAAACCATCATGGCTGTGCAGAATCCTTGGAGTTGGTCTCTGGACATGAGTCCACCTCCTCCCTGAGGTTGCCAGATTTTCTCATTAAAGCATCTTTGCTTTCTACTGGCACTTGCCTCTCGAATTATTGGCTTTTGAGTGGTGAGCAGCCAAACCTGAATTTGGTAACACTGGTTTTAGCAAGAACCCTGCCAAATCAGTTTAACCAGAACCCCAAACCCTCAATATCTGATCAGATTTACTCTACCATCCTGCCTTCAGCATAACCTTGTTATGTCAGTTTAGCCAAACCGCTTACCCTGGTGCTTCCTCTTAGTAATTTTCCATCCACTGACTCCCATTCTGCTCCTTGGCTATCTATTCCCACTTGACCGTGCTTTATTCAGGGTGGAGCCCAATCTCTCACCATTACTGTAAAATGTCATTGCAATGGTCCCTGCATTCATTCATATCGTCCTGAATAAAGTATGCCTCGCCACCTTTAACAAATGTCACTGAATATTTTTTAAAGACATTCCTTAACCATTCTCTTCAGGCATGCTGGGTTTTTTTCTCCTTACAATACCCCAAGTAGAACTGATCTATCTTTAAATTTTTTCTCAAATATAATTAATGTATCATAAAACTCAGCCTTTAAAGTAGACAATTCAGTGGTTACTAGAATATTAAAAGTTATGCAACCATCACCAATACCTAATTCCAGAACATTTTCATCACTCTAAAAAGAAATTCCCATGTTTATTAGCAGTTATTTCCTAACATCCTCTCTTTCCAGTCCCTGCCAACCACTAATCTACTGTGCTATGGATTTGCCAATTCTGTACCTTTCACATAGAATATATGGCCTTTTGTGCCTGGCTCTTTCAATTAGCATAGTGTTTTTAAGGTTCATTCATGTTGTGAAGCACACTGTTGTTTTCTTATTTTTTTGTAAGAATGATGCATACACATACATACACACATATACACAAAACCATGGTTAGAAATGCCTTCCTTACTTAATTAAGGAGTACATAAAAAGTTATAAATAGTTGCCTATATTTTCTTATGCTATTTTTTTATTTCATTTAGATATGTTTCTGAACTTTGTGTTATGTTTTACTTCTCTGTCTGCTCATTCTCCCACTAAACAATATGTGTTGTTTAAATAAAATTCTTAGTAGAACTAGTTCTGCATTACTGTGCCTTTTAGAGACCCAGGTTCGATCCCTGGGTCGACAAGATCCCCTGGAGTAGGAAATGGCAACCCACTCCAGTATTCTTGCCTGGAGAATTCCATGGACAGAGGAGCCTGGTGGGCTCCAGTCCATGGGGCTGCAAAGAGTTGGACACGAATGAGCACATATGGATGGACTTTGTTCTTTGAACTTGTTCTCCCCCCCAAATTAACTTTAAGATAATTTTATTAAATTTCAGAAAAAAAATCATTGGGATTACAGTCAAAATTATCTCCTATTTGTTTATTAATCTGGGAGAGACCTGATCTCATCGAAATCTAAGTGTGCTGAGGGAATTAAATTTTTTAAGGATTGTAGCTCTGGAGATCAGAAGAATCCCTTATAGAGGAAGAGAAGAGCTCTTGTTTTGCGGGGTGGGGTAGAGGGTGGGGGAACAATAGCTCAATGACTTCTTTGGCTAACCTACCCCCAGTGTGATCTAGCTGAGTAAGAGGGAGAGAAAGAGTTAAATTGCTCTCCATTATAATATAAGAGGGGGCTTCCCTAGTGGTTCAGTTGGTAAAGAATCTGCCTGCAATGCAGAAGACCCAGGTTCAATCCCTGGGTTGGGAAGATCCCCTGGAGAAGGAAATGGCAACCCACTCCAGTACGCTTGCCTAGAGTTCCATGGACAAAGGAGCCAAGCAGGCTACATGACTGTGTGACTAATTTTAACTTTTGACTTTGATAATATAAGAGGAGGTTTGAGTTCCCAAAGGCTAGAAAAGAGGGATTGAGTGGTCAAGAAGTCAGAGAGGCTGAGGAGATAATAATCAGGAGATACTGTGAGGCAGAATAGGCAATTCCAAAAGACAGCAGCAGGTGAGACACAAAAATAAAGGATAGAGTGAGAAATTCCCCACAAACTTTAATATGTGTAATATTTAATTTTTCATTGCTTCTTGTTTTATGCTATTTGTATTTAGACACCACATCTGTCCTCCTTCTCTCTCCCACAACACTTATCCACCACTAGGACCCTCAAAAACCTCAGAAAGTCTTGCACAAAACAGCCTTGTGTTAGCAATGCTTAGCTGGGCAATGAAAGAGACTATGTCTTAAGGCAAGAGTGACTGGAAATGGAGATAGGAGCCACAAGGACTATAAGCAATGATTGGTAGGCATCTTCGGAGTGCTCAGGACCCAGTAAGCATGCAACAAATGTGCTGTGAATACAGAAATAAATGAAAGAATAAATGAATAATCAAGTAATAGGAGAACAGAAATATTTGTAGTTGATGTTGATCAAGAGGAACATAAACCCCTCAATCATCTCTGGAAATGCTTGGAGATTTTCAAGAAACCATTAGACTTGTCATGATAGATGGAATAGAATCATGTGACTCGAATATCAAAGAAACAACTGAGCACATAAATATGGGACACTTGAGATCCTCTGGGTTACCCAGGGCTATTCTAACTACAAGCACCATATGGCCTACTATTTATTCAAAATTAATCTTTAGGTCTTTCTGTGGAGTTTTGTAACGTTTTTCCTTCACTTAAGTTCTACAGTCTTGTAGAGTTAATCCCTAGGCATTTTAAACCTATATGTACTTTTGTCACAGTGATGGAATTTCCATTTCCATTATATTTTCTAAATCGCTTCTATATGGAAATGATTGAGTTTGTATATTTACTTTGTGACCTAACTGAACTCACTTAGAGTTCTAATGATGGTTTCTCAGCTGAGTCTCTTGGGTCACTTGCGCTCCTTTGGCTGGATGGAGAGGCATGGTAAGATTCCATCAAAAGCCTCTTTTTAACTGTATTAATTGTATTAATCATATTAACCATTAACCATATTAATATTAATTGTGTCTTGTCCCTCAGGGAATAATTTAGGAGCTCCAATGATGACAGCTAATTTCCAGGGTGAAATTCTAAGAATGTACAGAGTTTTATAGCCAAAAGGCTGAAGAAAAGAAAAATGAGAGGAGAAAGATGAAAACACTTGACCAAACATGCAGAGACAGTGACACAGGTGGGGACCTGGCTGATCATTAGCTCAGGGGAAATGAGAGGGTGCAAGTAACCTGAATCACTCCTTAATTAGTGCGAGCCTCATAGAACCCTCCCTCTCCTTTTGGG